CCAAGGTGATCATCCCTTATGGAAACCCCGAACGGGGTCTATGTAGGGTGATGTCAGAGGGCACCCTCATAAGAACCAGCAGGTGTCCGGAATGTGCTGCAGAGGCTTGTAGAGGGCCACGTGGTCTTTGCAGCAGTAGCCTTGGCACTTAGTCTTGGGCTACGTCACCCTAAACCCTAAACCCTAAACCCTAAACCCTAAACCCTAAACCCTAAACCCTAAACCCTAAACCCTCAACCCTAAACCCTAAACCCTAAACCCTAAACCCTAACCCAAAACCCTAAACCCTAAACCCTCAACCCATAAAGTACCACAGAGTAGCCAGAAGCCGTGAAATCGATCTGCAACAGCCCACGCCATCCCTTTGAAGGAACATCTGCCTTGTGGAACACGTGGGTGTCCTCCAACCAGACCGTACCTGAGGGGTTAGGGTTCAGGGTTTAGGGTTTAGGGTTTGGGGTCTCGGGTTTGGGGTTTAGGGTTCAGGGTTTAGGGGACCGCCCAATATAGACCCCACAAAATAGCAGGGTTCCCGTATAAGAAGGACCCCAATAAAGTAACCTAATCTTATCGTAAACCCCCGCCTGCCGGACCGTAGAGTTTTGCGAGGCCTTGCGTGAAGGTGTTGGAAAACAGCACATCCTCGTCCAGCTTCTGTGCGGACAGCTCTTGGATGAACCTCGTTTTCGATGGGTCTCCCATTACCTCTTGGGTGCCCGGGATGTATGTGTGAGGGCCGCTGTCGTCGTCTAGAGCATCAGACAAGTACACCAGAAGCTTGACGGTGCGCACGGAGTTGAAGTCCTTGTGCCAGGTGGTGAAATCAAAGTCTTGCACGGTGCCATGGGGCAGGGGCACGTTGAAGGAGATGTCCACTGCACGAATGACCGGTGGCACTCCCATGAGGTCTTGGATCACAGAGAGCACTAGCGGATCAAAGGCCAACCTTGGGCGGATTTCGGGAGGGGGAAGGGGTCTAGGGGTCTAGGGTTTAGGGTTTAGGGCTTAGGGTGTAGGGTTTCGGGGGGGGGGGGGGGGGGGCAAAAAAAAACATCGAGCTTCTGTGCGATATAGGAGGGCCATGTAGGAGAAGGGTTTAAGGTTTCAGGGCTTTGGGGTTGAGGCCCTAAACCCTAAACCCTGAACCCTAAACCCTAAACCCTAAACCCTACACCCCCAAGCAACTCTTGCACCTCAGGTATATCGATGGCTGCATCCAGATCCTTCAGCCAGAACGAACCGTTCCAACCTCTTGCAATGGCATCCTCAGGGGCAAGTGTGGGCTGTTGAGGGTTCGGGGTTGGGGTTTAGGGTTTAGGGTTTAGGGTTTGGGGTTTGGGGTTGGGGGTTTTGGGGTTTGGGGTTTAGGGTTTAGGGCTTAGGGTTTAGGGTTTAGGGTTTAGGGTTTAGGGTTTGGGGTTCAGGGTTTAGGGTTTAGGGTTTAGGGATCCTCGGAAGTATGGGCTTAGGGTTCTGTCACATTATGCCCTTGCGCAGCCCCCCAATTTCAACACATCCCTCCGATTTCACCAAATGAACATCTTAAACCAACGCATACGAAGCTCACAGGGAACCCTTTTCTTGAGGGGCCCACCCCTCCTCTGGCGAATAACCTTGCACGGCCTCATTCGTGGTTCGTTTGATGAAGGTCTGGTCCTTCAAGCTTCGCCGGAGCCTCCGACAAGCTTTGAGGCCACGAACAGCACACCGGCAGAGCGGAAAACATGGCTCAGGGCCTAAGCCCTAAACCCTAAACCCTAAACCCTAAACCCTACTAGCATCTCTGCAAGTCCCGGACCCCGCAGCTTCTGCAGGAGCTGGTTCTTGGCCTCCTGATTAGGGTTCAGGGTGTTCGGGTTTAGGGTCTGCGGTTTAGGGTTTTAGGGTTTAGGGCTTGGAGTTTTAGGGTTGATAGGGTTTAGGGTTTTAGGGTTGATAGGGTTTAGGGTTTTAGGGTCGATAGGGTTTAGGGTTTTAGGGTTCTTGGCCTCCTGGAAAGACGCTTCGGGCCTTAGGGCTTCAGGGCTTGCTTTTTCTCGCTTTGGGGGTTTACAGTGTTGGGGTTTTCGGGTTTTAGAGCTTCAGGCTTTTTGGGCTTACCACGATGCTTTGACAACCCACCGTTCGATATGCCAATGCCAAAGAAAAGATATGGCCAACATCTTGCATGTTCCCCCACTTATACTCACAGTCCTTAAGAGGGACTATCTAGGGGGATACTATATTATTCTCATACCCCCCTCTTGTAATCCCGGTTAAGGACTGCTTGTTGGGGGAACATCCTAACCAATATCTATGAAGAGCTTGCTGGACATCGGTCTTCCGCATTGGGTCGGTCCGAAAACAGTGCAAAAGAACGTGGGCACGACTACCAGTACACTTTGGGATTTCCCCCCTTGTACTAGCAGTCCTTAATGGGGATGATAGTGCCCAGTACCCTCTATTATGATCTCAGTTAAAGGCCTGCGAGCATAGGGGGAACATCCCAAGGAACAATCTAGTATTCAAGCATTCCTTCTCGCACCATGACGTTAGGGTTTAGGGTTTAGGGTTTAGGGTTAGGGTTTAGGGTTTAGGGTTTAGGGTTTAGGGTTTGGGGTTTGGGGTTTGGGGGTTTGGGGTTTAGGGTTTGTGGTTTGGGGTTTAGGGTTTAGGGTTCTTGTTGACCTTTGTCTCCTCGACGCCCCCCACGCCTGAACTCAACGCTCGCATGGAAGCACTTTCATTCGCCAGGCTCAAAAAGTCGTAGGAGCCAATAAACTGCCCCAAGGCGGTGACCGCCTCGACGGCCGGGTGCATGCTGTGCCCTTGCAAAAGGGCTTGCTGGAGGTTCCGATTCTCCGCGTGCGTGTCGCAGTGGGGGTTGTAGCCGCCCAATCCTTCCGTCACCCTAAACCCTAAACCCTAAACCCTCAACCCTAAACACTAAACCCTAAACCCTAAACCCTAAACCCCAAACCCCAAACCCAATCCTTCCGTCACCAGCAGCTGCTTCAGCAGCCAGCATGTCTGAGACGTGGACCAAGCTGCCCCTGCCGCCCGATTCCGCATTCTCCGTTGGCTCACCTGCCTTGGTAACCCGGTAACCTTATTAGGGATTAAGTAGGGTTTAGGGTTTAGGGTTTAGGGTATAGGGTATAGAGTTTAGGGTTTAGGGTTTAGGGCTTAGGCTTTAGGGTTTAGGGTTTAGGGTTTAGGGTTTAATTAGGGTTCAGGGTTTAGGGTTTAGGGTTTCGGGTACCCTTTTGGGGTTGGTTACCTTTACGAGGGAGCCTTGAACCCAAAAAACGGAGCAAAAGGGCACCACGGGGCGAACCAAGCTGCAAAAAGCTCGGGTCGGGGGAAGCCTGCTTCCAACCCAAGTTTTCCGCAGTCTGTCGTGCGCAGTCCAACAATTGGGCATCGTGACGACGGGACTCAATATCTTTTGGCTGGCCTTTTTGCAGCAAGCAGCTGCTATCATTTCCTGAGTGGTGCTTTAAAACCCTTTGACAATTATTGATGAATAGGTTCCCTTAACATGGAAAGAAGGAAATGAAAATTATCCCGAAGCACTGCCCAGTTTCCGGCCCTGCTTGCGGCAAGCACTGCAGAAACCAGAATTTCACACACAATAAGTTTCAGTGCCATCTGCCGGCGCGACATCCTGGGAAAAGATACCTTGTTGGGAGAATTGAGCCGAACATCCGTCGCAGGCCGCAAGCAGCGTAGGAGCCCACAGCGGCCTACTGTCCCCTTCTTTGAGGTGTCATGGGTCCTTCGGGATAGATAGGGTATCATAGGTTGGGTAGCTGTATCACCCTACTTAGCATGCCTGCAACCCGAAATCGAACCCTGCTTATATAACTATCCATGAACCCGACGTCTAGCAGGTTTAGGGTTTAGGGTTAAGGGGTTTAGGGTTTAGAGTGTAGGGTTTAGGTTTTTTTTTCTTTTTCTTTGGGGGGGGGTTGGGTTTTAGGGTCTGCGATAGCTGCGGCTGCCTGAGAGCGAGGCTTCTGAGGCTCTCTCAACCTATGCGGGTTGCAAGCGCCCAGCCACACCGTTTTGGGTCCTACGCGCCGGTCGCCCTAAACCCTAAACCCTCAACCCTAAACCCTAAACCCTAAACCCTAAACCCTAATGTAATCTCTTTTTCGATTTTTGCACATCACTGCGAAGGCTGCGTCCCACGGCGCTCATCGTAGAAGGCCACCGCGATGGCAACGATCATTGCCACGCACACGCCCTGAGGAGGCAAAAGCGGGCACGGCGCAGAAAAAAAAAAAACTCTGAGTGGGTTTAAGGTTTCGGGAGCCCTAAACCCTAAACCCTAAACCCTAAACCCTAAACCCTAAACCCTAAACCCTAAACCCTGAACCCTGAACCCTAATTCAATGACTAAACCTGAAACCCTGAATTTTTGGACGAGCCGAAAATACTCCCACTTGACTTATGCCGACCAGGCACAGAGGCGAGGGAGCAGATCGCAAAAAGCAGGGCAGCCTAGAGGTCAGGATTTAGGGTTAGGGTTTATTGAGGGTTTAGTGTTTAAGGTTAGGGTTTAGTAGGTTTTAGTAGTAGGGTTTATTAGGGTTGATTAGGGCTTATTAGGGTTTATTAGGGTTTATTCGGGTTTATTCGGGTTTACTAGGGTTTATTAGGGTTTGTTATGGTTTATTAGGGTTTATTAGGGTTTCTTAGGGCTTATTAGGGTTTATTAGGGTTTAGTCGGCTCGCATGAGGCAAGGTGAGATCCACAATACAAGATAAATCTCATCCATCTACAGAATATACATGTTTTACAACGTGTTGTGCACACATATTTTGCACATATGGGTCGAATCAAAAATGCAATACCCCTCTGCACCCCAAAACCCTACATCCGGAATACCCTAAACCCTAAGCCCAAAAACCCTAAACCCAAGTAGCCCCTAAACCCTAAACCCTGCAAACGCTAAACCGTGTAAACCCTTAACCCTGCATTTCCTAATTCCTGAACCCAACCTAAACCCCAAACCCTAAGCCCCAAAAATGGAACCCTTAAACCCCAAGTACCCTAAACCCTAATCCCTGTAAGTTGGGATGTCCCCCTTATACTAACAGTCCTTAATTGGGATTCGGGATTACAGTACCTCAGTAAGGACTGTTAGCACACGGGGAAACACCCCAACCCTAATTAAGGCTTCAAGAACGATGCACATGCCAAGACGCGTGCATCTGTTTTTGCACCGTGTTGGGAAGTGTCACACGCTTTGAGGCTGTACAAAGAGCAAGGCCACCGGGGCGGGTGGGAGCGGCGGGTTTGCTTGAGCGGCACACATCGAAACATTCAGCCTTACTGGAATCAAGGCTTCAAGAACGATGCACATGCCAAGACGCGTGCATCTCTTTTTGCACCGCGTTGGGAAGTGTCACATGCTTTGAGGCTGTACAAAGAGCAAGGCCACCATCCAGCCCGAGTCTCCCATAACTGTGCCGTCAAGCACGCTTGCCGGTGGCCACGAAAAGATGCCAGTGCCTGGGCTGAATCCCAAACCGTGCCAAGGACGAGACTTCGTCCAAAATTGCCCTGAAAGATGCCAAAGCAAAGAATACTGCGTCCCGTGTACGAGACGGGAGCCGTGGCAAAGACTGTATCGCCGACACTTCCTGCACGTATATCTCCGATACACGTGATGTCAACCAGCGACCACGTCTCTGAACCAGCTCCGAGTCTTCACATTGCATCATCAGCCAGGTTGCGCCTCCGGCTCGCAGCGAAGCGAGCTCCAGCCACGGGAGGCCGGAGCCGTGAGAGCAGGGTAAGCTCAGAACGTTGCAAAGCTGCCGGAACCTGTTACGTAGCGTCTGGCCCGAGAACGGCCACAAGCGGTCCTCGGCCTTCAGCTTCTCGAAGCCCAGAGCAACGACCTGGAGAAGATCTGGTTGATCTAGTCTAGCAGCTTGGTGCCTCGCAGCTTTGTAACGGGTCTTTGGCTCGCCTATAGAAAGCAAAGCGTACTCAAGGGTGTGGCCGAAGTCGATGGGCAGAAGCAAGTGCTTGCGCTGTGCTGCCAGCACCTCTCCTACCCTCAAAAGGCCAGCCCAGGCCAATGTCAGGACTGCCGCTACCTGGGTCCAGCCCCAGCTTAGCGCGAGCGTCAGCAAACTGATCAGCACCTGCCAAGGCACGGCAACATGATGTTCGATTGGTCAGCTCGTTTCCAAGAGAAACCGAGATCCCACGCGGGTTGTACTAAACGCCTCAACTTCGGCACACGGGCAGTGAAGCTGTTGAGCAACTCGCTGTAGTGAGAGAACGGCCTCCCATTGGTGTAGAGTTGTCTACCGTATCGTACCAGAATAGCATTGACGCCGTCGACGTCGACATATCCTGCGGTGTCCTCGAAAAGTGCAGAAGGTACGTCATTCTCTTTGAGCCACATTAGGAAGCTTGACCAGAGCTGGTCTCTGCGAGCCTTGGTTTTTGCTTCGACAGGCCGTCCCAGGGGCAGAGGATCTCCAGCCCTGCGCCTCATGCGTTCCAGGTCACCAGCGTTTCGCGGAGGTGGGCCATTTCTCAGGACTGGAGGACTGGAGGGCTTAAGGCAGAAGGATGCTGAACCCTGAAAACCCAACCCACAGCAGCACCACCAGTAGAACCAGCAAGGGCCAGGGCACCCAAGAGTTGCGTCAAAGGCAAGGGGGGAGGGCACAAAGATTCTAAAAGAACGACATCGAAAGCGGTCTTCGGGGCGCCCGGCCGGGCGGAAGGCAGACAGGAGCAGAAGCAGTCGTACCCAACCTCTTGAGGGCTGAATTGGGAGAGACTAAAGCCCGGCAACGCGGGGCCTGTCGCGAGTCGGATGGTCGGCTGGCATGAGTCTGGTAGGGCAGTAGGGAGTGGCCGGATACAGACCGAAGGCCAAACACACAGCACCTGCAGATGGGGAGCGCCCTTTGGCAACGGCGCAGCGGGCAACGTTGGAGTCGCACAAAGAGCAGAACCTGGCAGCAACGAGGCCTTGACGAGCAAACTTGCAGCAAAGCCTGTAGACGCAGGCCGTCTCGAGGAGGTTAATGTGGACAGGCCTGGGCAAGCTGGTTTACAAGCGGAGATTCCAAACCTTCGACCTCAAGGGAGCATGACTCGAGGGCAGCGTGCCTGAGAGAGATGGCGCACGAGAAAGCTTTAGCAATGGCTAGCGCAAGGGCATCAGGATATGCCGCAGAAGCCTTTGTAGTCTGATGGCCTTGGGACCGGACATGCACGTGGTCCTTGCTGCAGCACCTCTTGAAGGGGGACAGGTCGCACGCAACAGCAAGGAAGCGCCACGGTTTCATGCAAGCCGTTCCAAAGCACAACCGACAGCGAAGATCTCAGAGGCGCCAGGCAGGGCGGCAACAGCCTTCCAAGAGGGCAGTCGCATGAAGTTGCCTGAATAGGTCGCGAGCTCCGCCTGAACTTCTCGCGCTTTGCCGAGCCTTTTGTAGAGAGGGCCGATGACCCCTGGCCTCCTCCGCCGAAGTCTCCTGAGTTCTCCGAGGCCTGGCTGGTCAAGTGGTTGACCAGAAGAGTCATGGCGTTGCTCTGTTGAGCCAGCTCCAAGCCCAGCACCCTCTAGCACCTCGCTCTCATCCTCGGGCAGCGCAGGAGGAGGGTCCAGAAGCTGAGTTGCCGGGCCTTTGGCGGGGGCCCGAAGCAAGCGGCAAAAGCTGATGCGGTGTCGGGGGCTGGCGGCCTTGCTTGCTGCGCGGGGGCTGCATGGGAGTGGCCCGGTTGACCGAGGCTGCCGGAACCTGATTGGCCTGAACCTGCTCTTCTAGAGCCTGCTGGCGTTCTGTCAGAGAGCCAAGTTGGCTGGCCAGTTTGGGCATGACTTCTAGAAGGGAGGAAGCCAGCTGTGCCGTGGTAGGTTTCTTCGTCTTGGGGCAGCCGCCTTTGGGCCTGCGGAGGATTGCGCGGCACCTCCTCGACCTGCTCTTCTTCCGGAGCCGTGTAAAACCCCATTCTTTCGGCATCTGCGGTGCGCAGCCAAGCCCGAGCTAAACCCAGCAAAGCCTCGACGTTGGGAAACCTGCCAGGGTGCTCTGGGTCGAAAGGTGTCACGCCAGTGCGTAGGTGGCATAGGCGAGCTCGGAGGCATCTAGCGCATCCATCATGGCTCCTCTGGCGGGAAATCAACACCTGCAGCTCGGCAATAGACCCTACACTCGCCCTCAGTGGGGAAGCCGTGGCACCGTGTCGTGCGACAGCCGCCCGACGGCCAGTTTAAAGGACCCAAAGCTCTTGTAAAAACCACCCCTTCCCAAGCGAGGATTTCTGAGAACCACGTAAACCCTTGGTCTGACCGAAAGATCTGGGGTAGACTCCACGCAATCCAGCTCTCCTCGAAGGACTTGACGGGCGGAAAGGCCTGCGGCCCAGGCTCTCGCGGCGCGAGAGGCCCTGACTGAAGGAGCCAGGGTAACACAAAGATGCCGGCACTCAGAAGGCAGAGGGTTAGGGGCAGGACTAGAACCACTAGGGGTTTGGGGTAATGTGACAGAGCTGGTTGCAGCAGGTGGTGTTGGAGACTCGACCAATTGCCAGCCGTTTTGAGACACACCGCCCTCGAGGGCTTGTACAATGGCCCCGGTAGCAATATGCAGTTGTTCAAAGGCCTGAGAGAGCGCTTGAAGGTCAAAAGAGCCTTCCGCAAGGCCCGTAGCCTAGGATACACGTTGGGTCGGCGAGTGACTGAAGCCGGGGAAGAGGTGCTGGTGTCTCCTGCCCCGATGCCTGAAGGACAAGAGGGCCAGGAAGGAGGAGCAACAAAGAGGGTCCTGCGGAAGAGGAAGAGCGTTAGGAGGGCCCCAACCCCAAGGCCGGATACAAAAGCGAGGGTGAGGACGGATAGGGAGCCAGTGCAGTGCGCTGGGCAAAGTAAACCCCACCAACCCGAAGCTGAACCGGCCGAAAGAAAACCCAGAACCTGGGGGACCCAGGCCACCATTTGCTTGAGCGGCACACATCGAAACATTCAGCCTTACTGGAATCAATCCCTGTAAGCCCCAAACCTTAAACCCCAACCCCCAAACCCTGAACCTAAACCCTACACCCTAAACCCAAATCCCTGCAAACCCTAAACCCTGGTCCTGCGTGGCACCAGAGTGGGCCCAGTGGAAGTCGTTGGCAACCAAGCCTCTGGCCCGCCCGCTTTTGAAGAAGACGTTGGTATACTGAGGGCTTAAGGCTTAGGGGGTTTAGGGTTTGGGGTTTGGGGTTTAGGGGTTTAGGGGTTTAGGGGTTTAGGGGTTTAGGGGTTTAGGGGTTTAGGGGTTTAGGGGTTTAGGGGTTTAAGGGGTTTAAGGGGTTTAAGGGGTTTAAGGGGTTTAAGGGGTTTAAGGGGTTTAAGGGGTTTAAGGGGTTTAGGGGGGTTAGGGGTTTAGGGGTTAGGGGTTTTAGGGGTTAGGGGTTTAGTTAGGGGTTTAGGGGGTTTAGGTGTTTAGGGGTTTAGGGGTTTAGGGGTTTAGGGGTTTAGGGGTTTAGGGGTTTAGGGGTTTAGGGGTTTAGGGGTTTAGGGGTTTAGGGGTTTAGGGGTTTAGGGGTTTAGGAGTTCGGTGGTTCGGGGTTTTTGGGGTCTAGCGATTTTGCGGCTTAGCGGGTTCAAACGGGCGCTGGTTGGCGGAAAGCAAAGTTGGTTTCCACAGGACAGAGAGAGAGAGAGAAAGAGAGAGAGAGATAGGGTCTAGTTTAGGGATCCCCTATTTAATTTCCGTAAACCCCCATTTGACATGCACATGCAGACCGGGCAACACGATGTCATGACCATGATGGCCAAGGCCACAAAGAGAAGAGCCATCTCCAACTGGTTCCAAAACTCCACCTCACGGGCCGCTTGGTTATGCCAAACCCTAGAAACCCAAAACCCGTACAACGTACCCGAAAGCCCTAAAACCCTAAACCCCTAAAACCCTAAGACCCTCAAACCCCTAAAGCCCTAAAAGGATTCAGGGCTTGGGGCTTGGGGCTTGGGGCTTGGGGCTTGGGGCTTGGGGCTTGGGGGCTTGGGGCTTGGGGGCTTCGGGCTTGGGGCTTTTGGGGCTTGGGGCTTGGGCTTTGGGCTTCGGGCTTCGGGCTTAGGGCTTAGGGCTTAGGGCTTAGGGCTTAGGGCTTGGGGCTTAGGGCTTAGGGCTTAGGGCTTAGGGCTTAGGGCTTAGGGCTTAGGCTGGCTTAGGGGCTTAGGGCTTAGGGCTTAGGGCTTAGGGCTTAGGGCTTAGGCTTAGGGCTCGGGCTTCGGGCTTTTAGGGCTTAGGGCTTAGGGCTTCGGGCTTAGGGCTTAGGGTTAGGGCTTAGGGGGGGGTTTAGGGCTTAGGGCTTAGGGCTAGGCTTAGGGCTGAGGGCTTAGGGCTTAAGGGCTTAGGGATTAGGCTTGGGGCTTGGGCTTGGGGCTTGGGGCTTAGGGCTTAGGGCTTTTGGGCTTTAGGGCTTAAGGGCTTGGGGGGGCTTGGGCTGGGGGCTTGGGGCTTGGGGCTTGGGGCTTGGGGCTTGGGGGCTTTGGGCTTGGGTTTGGGCTTAGGGCTTGGGGGGCTTCGGGCTTAAGGCTTAGGGCTCAGGGGCTTAGGGCTTAGGGCTTAGGGCTTAGGGCTTAGGGCTTAGGGCTTTGGGCTTAGGGCTTAGGGCGTAGGGCTTAGGGCTTAGGGCTTAGGGCTTAGGGCTTAGGGCTTCGGGCTTAGGGCTTAGGGCTTAGGGGCTTGGGGCTTCGGGTTTAGGGTTTAGGGTTTAAGGTTTAGGGTTTAGGGCTTAGGGCTTAGGGTTCAGGGTTAGGGTTTATGGAGGTGAGGATCGAGAAGAGGCTCGAAAGCTTCGTCAGGTGGGTTTAGACCTAAACTCAAGTCAACTGCCTACTTACAACAAAACTTCTTCCGACTATGGTCGTAAGGCCATTTCCAAGCAGAGGGTAGGAGCAGGGTCTTACTGGTCTCTGTGGGGGGGCGTCCAGGAAGGTTTCAGGAAGGTCTCCAGCGTGGTCCCAGAAACGTCACAGAAGGGTCCCAGTTTGGTCCCAGGATAATCCCAGGAATTTGCATAGGGCCGAAGGCGTCTCAGGGCAGATCTTGAGCATTGTCCGGGACCCCCCCCAAAAAAAAAAAAAAAACACCAGCACCATCCAGGGTCCTAGGGCATTTACCTTAACACGGACCAGTACTGGTCGGTCGCTTGCGCAATAGAGGTCGCGGGGCCTAGGCGCCGACTTTCACTGCAGGGGGGGCGGCCTAAGCCTTGAGTTTAGGGTAGTTTAGGGTTCACGCTTGAGTTTAGGGTAGTTTAGGGCTCACGCGGTTCATGCTGTCGGCCTTGTATGGCCGGTAGTAGTCATAGAGGACCAAGGACGCGAGGATGATGAGGCTCACGCCGCCCATCTGCAGCGCCTCGGTCAATGCTCAAACCCTCTATGCTGAAGAAGTCCACCAAGGGAGCAAGGGAGGTCGAATCACCAGCCTGTTACGAAAAAGAAATCCTGAAAAGAGCCATCGTCGGGGCTCCCCTTAGAACAAGAACCCAAAACTATTCCTGAGCATCCCCTTATTCTTCATAAAGACCATCATAGCAAGAGCCCAAGGGGAAGCCCCATGGTCTCCGAGGTGTGTTGGGCCATTGGGGGCCAGGGCGCCGGAGAGAGGGACACGGGCAAGAGCGCCGGGAGGAGGCCCAGGAGCATCTTCCGGCCCAGCCGCTCCACCTCCAGAGCACGGGGGGGAGGCAGGAAAATCAGGGGTGCCTCAGCATTATATATGGAAAATGTTATCCTGTCAAAAACATAAGAAAACTCTTTTCCTACATATATATATATATGTACATATTCATGGTTTGCATATGTTAGTAGTATATTAGGGTGTGGGAGCGCGGCAAGTGTACGCAAGATCCCCAGCAAACGAACCTGCTACGTGCTGGTGCTGGCGGGGGTGTCGTTTGTACGGAAACACCATCAAGGCCACAATGCCACACCTCCTCAGGAGAACCCTACACCCTACATAACCCTATACGTAAACCCTAAACATATCATGTAATACAGGGGTCGGAATTATCTGAGGCCCCTTAAACCATAATACCCCCCCCCCCCCCCCCCCAAAAAAAAAAAAAAAGGAAACCTCTTCTAATCATTAAGGCCCCCATGTGATCCTCCCTGCCTCCCAGGCCTACTATAATAGCCCCCCACAACACCCTAGTATTAAGGCCCCTATTTTGCCCTCCCTGCCTCCCAAGCTGCGCAGCTGGGTTTGTAGGAGGCCGTGAGGAATTGGACATGCTGCTGGAAGGGCTCCTTGCGTGTCCAGACCTCGGAGACTGGGAAGGCTAAGGGCTTTCTGGTTAGGGTTTTCTGGGTTTGGGGTTTGGGGTTTTCTGGGTTTAGGGTTTAGGGTTTAGGGTTTAGGGTTTAGGGTTTAGGGTTTAGGGTTTAGGGTTTAGGGCTTCTCGCCGCGCCGCGGCAGTAGATTTCATGCGGAGATGGCGCCCCAACACACCCAGGGGTGTGAGGGGGCGGCATATGTCGCGGCGGCGTATATTGAAGTGGGAGCCACCACAACCAGAAAAGTTGGGCTGTTCCATCTCCCACCCCCTGCTTACGCAGGCATCCACCCAACTTTTTTCCTTTTAGGGTTTCGGGCTAACGCCCTAAATTCCCACTTCCCACCGCCATTTTTTGAACAGTATCGTCAGTTTTCAGGATGCGGCAGATTGCCAGCAGGCCAAGGGCAGGTTCGGGAAGGCTAGGGGCCAGCAGGCGGGTCCACTTTGCCCAGACTGCCAGGTTTAGGGTTTTAATAATACTTAAGAATCGGAGAAGGGAGGCGGGGTGCCCCAGGCGGGGAACTGCACCGGCACTGGAGGTGCAGCTCACGCTCAACACAACTCTTTAGGCTTGCACAGTAAGTCCAAGCGATGGTGTGAATGGCTGTCGGGTGTAGTTCTGGTATAGAAGAGGGCGGATACGGCCTACGCAGCTGAGCCCTAACTTGAGCAGCCCTGTGCCTCTCTATCGACCTTCAGGGTGTGCAGAGCCGAGGCACGATGTAGGACCAGCTGCCGATGGCAAAGAGGAAGCAGAGGAGGATGGCCGTGAGCACGAGCGCGATGACGGTGCGGGGATCTCCGGAGGGCAGGAAGTCCATGCGAAGCTCCTTTGTCGGGTTTCGGCTTATTGGGTTTCTTGGGTTTAGGGTTTAGGGTTTAGGGTGCAGGGCTTAGCAATCCGAAACAAGAGACATGCAGCCAAAGTTGTGCCTTGCCCAAGCAAGGGAAGCCACATGTTGCAGCCCAGGCTCCCTGCCGCCCTCCTCGCCCTCGGGCCGAAGCCGATATGCCACCTCTTTAGTAAGTTTAGTGCCGACAGCTTGATCTCAATCCCCTAAGCCCTAAGCCCTAAACCCAAAACCCTAAACCCTAAACACTGTACAGAGCAGGGTCGCTAGGTACCGGCCGAAGGCAGAGGTGAACGCGGGTAGGAAGACGTTCACACCGACCACCACGGCAACTCCCAGGCCTTTGGCCGCCAGGAGAATGGCCTCGGATGTTGGGGTTTTAGGGGTTTAGGGGTTTCGACTTCCAGATGTGGGCGAGAGCGGGGCTCAACATACCGTCAGTGCTGCGGGGCTGCGACGAGAAAGGCCGGCAAGATGGAGGTTGCCCAGTGCACGGTGACGAAGGAGCCGTCCAGGCCCCGGCGACTGAGCAGGCAGTGGCTGGAGACCTGGGCACCTGTGCTTTGGCCCTGGGCCAGGGCTATGGGGAGCTCCAAGGACTCCAGCAGGGAGGCCAGCCTGTGCGCGGACTCCTAAGCAGGGGCGCAGCTGCAGCGCTGTCTGCTTTGCAGGACTTCAGACTTAAGCCCTTTCTTAGACTCTTATAACCTTCCACCCTTTTTCACAATCCCCAGTCTTGCAAATGGCGGAAGGCGCCCGTCTGCATGGCACCTGACCTCAGGCTATCCGGGTTGGTCCAGGGGCTTGGAGCTGTGAGCAGGAGTCTCAGTTGGACATCAAACAGCTTTGATGCGTGAAGAGGCACATGGCTACGGACGCCACGGCCGCAAAGGCCATGAGCTGATTCAGCATGGCGGAGCTGTTGTTCTTGTCGCGCTTCGCGTTGGTCACCTGGGCCGGAACGTGCCATCGCGAGATCCAGACAAGAATAAACTCATTCTGGGTGTGTTTGGGTGCCCTATGTGCCCTCAGCTGTCGGCAGTGGCCACGGCAGACATGAACAGCCCCATCTGCTTGGCCAGATAGAAGAGGGCGAAACGGACGACCTGCGCCAACGGGCGAGTCCATCCATTTCCAGGCTTGCTCTGAGCACCTCCCAGCCTCCCACTGGGACGTGGAGCAGCGTATGCACTGCATTGCGGTGCTGTCGGCCCAAGCGAACTCCGCGGCGCAGCGCATGCACCTTACAGCTACCGTTTCAAGAGAGAGCACCAGGAGCACCCAGCTGTTTGTGCCATGCAACTGTACGAGACATGATGCAAGGAGACGACACAAAGACCTACACCTTGAGAGCTTGTGCACCAAAATGCCACAAGCGTGGGTTCAGGGTGACGGCGTTTTGGGGAATCTACAAGAAGCAAAGCAGATGTACATACATGTGCCCTATATATAGAATATAAACAATAAATATCAAGATGAGCCACTCCAGGGTGAACCACGATGAACCCACCCCTGACTCAGAAGTAGCATTATGCCAGGACCCTTATTGCGAGAACTTTTTGCGAACCCCGTACTGTGAGCAGCCAGCGCCAGCAAAGCCAACCATAAAACCCTTTGCCCGAAAAACGCCCAAAATCCCAACTCTAACCGTAAACCCTGAACCCTAAACCTATAGCATTTGTGGCTGCCCAGCAGCCCAGGCCCCTCGTAGCCGAGGACGCACATGGGCTGCACCACTTCGACTGCATCCTCGAGGGAGGGTTTAGGTATCGGGGTGAAAGGGTTTAGGGTTTTGGGGTTTAGGGTTTGACCCAGCTGTGAGGCAACAGGTTGGCTGCGTGGGCTCTCCGTCCTCCAGTTTGCGGCCAGCCTTCAAAAAACCACCCGGGCACGTGGCCGTGTTCGGGCAACGGTACCAGTCCGTGAGGTTGGTCGTGTTAACCTTGGCATCCGTCACAGAGCCAAAAGCCGCACAAAGTGACGAAACCAAGCCCGAGCCCGGGACCATGTACCCTGGAGGTACCTTGAGCTCGGTGGAATCGCAGCCAACAGCTGCCGTTGGGATGCTGGGGCACGGCTGGCAGTGGCTGCTGTTGGCAGCCAAACGGATCTGGCCCTCTTCGCACTTCAGGCAGCCTGTCTGGAAGCCTGACTTCTGCAGCCCTCCTCCTCGTTGGCACTGCGCTGCAGAGATGTCGGCCGAAGGCCCTTCCACATAGCAGCCGTTGACTGCTTCCGCACAAAGCAGTCGTGCGATGGACGAATGTTTGCCCACGGCAAGGGACGCCGTCCTGCCCGCAAGGATCGCAGTGTGGAGGTGCAGATCATTCGCATACACAGCATCGCCGACCATGGCAGCCGTGCTGTTTCTGACTGTCACCATGCCAGAGGCAGTCATGCTTCCCACGTGGAAAGCGCCACCAGCACCGGCTCTTGCAAGACATCTGTTGCAGGTCATAGCCGGGCCGGTGAGCTTTATGTGCCCTTCCTCGATGAAGATCCCTCCTGGAGACAGCTGGCTTGAAGCTAGGGCTGGGCAATGCTCTTTGCTACATGGCGATGAAAGTACGAGAACTTGCCGGCTCTGGCCCCTGAAGCTTTGAGACTTTGGGAAGAAAGAGATGGGCGAGAGGGACTGCCCTGTTCCAATATGCTGCGAAGCCCCTCTAGGCCCTCGAACTTCAGCCCGGAACCCCGGACCCTAAACCCCAAACCCTAAGCCCTCAACTTTGTTTGCCGTACCGGTGCCTTGAAAGTTCCCTCAACCTGCCCGTCCTCCACTGTCTGCCTGGCAGTCCTCCAGCACCCATCGGCCGGAGCCCTCGAGATGGCCCCGGGCATACATGGCGCCTCCAGCAAGGCTTGGGATACGCATAGAGTCGGCACTGCCGGCTGTTGAGGAAGGGGGCGGACTCAAGGCTCTTCGACCATCTTCAACCTCCGTACGGGGTATGCCGGGTGCCCTACGGCCCGCGCCTCCATTTCGACCGGCAGTCGCGTTGTGGACCTGGAGGTAGGCATTGGTGATCGTCATGTTCTCGGCAGAAGAGAGGGCGCCTGGGGCAGTGCGTGTGCACAGCACGACGCGGATGTGCTCCGGAATCGAAACTCCCCGCTTGATCAGCAACACTGTGAGAACTGAAGATGGCCATGGTGATGATGATGTTGGTGTTGGTGTTGGTAGGGAAACCCTCCCCCCCCCCTTCTTCGCAGAACCACGCTTCGCCCCGATGCGACATTACACGCGTCCCGAGATTGGCTCTTCGACTTGTCGGCCTCACTGCAGACTTGTCAGCGATTTCCCCGAGTCTGCGAACAACTAGAAGAAGCCTGAACCTGATGAGAAGTGTCGGTTTCAGCCACCGCGCATACACGGAAGAATCGATCTGGACAGCCTGTCTGGAAAGGATGTTAGGGACACGAGATCCGGGGTCAGTTCAGCGGCCCACTGCTTCAGAGGAGCTGGGGAGCTTCGACCAGAAGGAAGGTGAAGAAGTTGGGAGGTCGATAGGCGCTGCATACTCGTGGACTTTTAAGAAAGGAGATGCGCGAGGATATGCGGAACACCAAACACACGCGAGAGAGCCGGGGTTTTGGCCAGATGCAGAGCTGAGGTGAAAACTTCCGAAAATCTCTTGCAACATGAAGTGTGCGCCCGGAGCTGGATCTGCAAGCTCGGAGAGGCTGCTCGCCCCGATGGCCCGTTGCGATGGCTTCCTGAAGCCGAAAAGCCCTCAGCTCAACCACCTCTCCTTGCACTGAAGGGTTTGAACTGTCTGAAGCTACTATCAGTGAGGTGTGCAGTGCGCAGCCTGCGTATCCAACCCTTCCTGCCGAAACACGACCTGGTTCAACTGAATCCGCAACCCGCCTGAACATGCCTTGAGAACTTCAGAAGCTCAGGTCCCAGGGTTCAAAGAAATCGCAAAGCAAGGGCTCCTCTAAAAAAAAGCTGGTCTCAACCTTTCCACCTTCCTCAGCCCTGACAACCCCCCGAGCCCCCCACCCTTCCAAGTTGCCTCGGCTAGGCTGTTGACAAAAAAACGAGGGGCCCTGGAGGGTACCCTGTATTGCCCGCGCCTCCATACACACCGGCACTCGCGTTGTGCACCTCGAGGGAGGCATTGGCGATCGTCATGCTGCCGTCGGAATGAAGAGCGCCTCCGTGGCACGAGCATGCAGTGCGTGTTCGGAGGTCCTATCCGTAGGCCTACGAACCTCAAGACTCTCCGGCCCGCACACCTTCTTACCCTTTAGCCAAGGCATCGAACGCTTGATTCTCCAAATGCCTTTGCTTGCCCTGGGCGCTTCCCTCAGATTCCTCCTCCCAACAAGCCGCTTTACTCGGTATTGCGATAACCCTTCTGGACGCTCCTACGATGTGACCTGGAACATGATCACCCGCCATCGCCAAACCCGGAACTTCTGCACCACATACTTGTAACAGCACGGACAACCCCGCAAGACAAAGACGTGGGTGTGCTTGGGAATGCAGAAACCACGAAGCACCCCCCTGGCGGGCTCTCCGCGATGCGACTTCCCGCGCCCTGCAGGTATCAGCAACACGTGAGAACTGAAGAACTCACTGTGGTAGATGAAGATGGTGGCACTGGTCGAGCCCCCTCTCCCAGAACCACGCCCGACATTACACACGTCCCGAGATTGGTTCCTCGACTTGTCGGCCTCGTTGCAGACTTGTCAGCCGTGCTTGCCCGTTTACCAGCGCCTGTAAACAACTGCGAAGAAGCTTGAACCTGATGAGACCTGCACTTGAAGGATGCGGAGATGTACAGAGATCGGAGTCAGCCCACAGGCCGAATATGGCCGAATGTTTCTGAAGAGCTGGGCAGCTTCGATTAGAAGGAAGATGCAGGAAGTTAGGGCATCGAGACTCGCGAGGCCCTGCCTATTGAAGCGGAAAAACTCCTCCAGAAGACTTCCAGAAGCCTCTTGCGATGTGAAAAGTGTGACAGTTTCCCCCGCCCTCCACCCAAGACCTACACGCGCCTAAACACTCAGCTCAACCACCTCTCCTTGCACTGAAGTGTTTGAACTGTCTGGAACTACTATCGGTAAGGTGTGAAACACGACCTGGTTCAACTGAATCCGCAACCCGCCTGAACATGCCTTGAGAACTTCAACTGAACAGCTCAGGTCCCAGGGTTCAAAGAAATCGAAAAGCGAAAAATGCTAGTCCCCTGCGAGGTTCAAAGCTTCCCGGAGTGGGGCCGGAGGACATGATCAAGCAGCTAGCTAAGCGGGTCGGGAGTAGACTTCTCTCAATCTATCCAGCTTCCTCAGCCCTGAAAACCTCCCCGGCCCCCCGCCCTTGCAAGTTGCCTCGGCTAGGCTGTTGAGGAGGCGCGAGGGGCCCTAGAGAGGGTACCCTGGTTTGCCCCGCGCCTCCATGCTTACCGGCACTCGCGTTGTGCACCTCTAAGGAGGCATTGGCGATCGTCATGCTGCCGGAGGAATAAAGGGCGCCTCCGTGGCACGAGCATGCAGTGCGTGTTCGGAGGTCCTACCCGTAGGCCCTACGAACCTCAAGACTCTCCGGCCCCGCAGCCCTTCTTACCCCTTAGCCAAGGCGTCGAGCGCTTGATTCTGCAAATGCCTTTGCTTGCCCTGGGCGCTTCCCTCAGATCTTCCTCCCAACAAGCCGCTTCATTCGGCATTGCGACAACCCCCTCTGGACGCTCCTACGATGCGACCTGGAAATCACTCGCCATCGCCAAACCCGGAACTTCTGCACTTCATACTTGTAACAGCACGGACAAAGACAAAGACGTGGGTGTGCTCGGGAATGCAAAAGCCACGCAAGACCCCCCTGGCGGGCTCTCCATGATGCGACTTCCCGCGCCCTGCAGTAATCAGCCACACTGTGAGAACTGAAGATCTCACTGTGGTAGATGAACATGATGGTACTGGTCGAGCCCCCTCTCCCAGAACCACGCCCGACATTGCACACGTCACGAGATTGGTTCCTCGACTTGTCGGCCTCGTTGCAGACTTGTCAGACGCGGTTGCCCGTTTACAAGAGCCTGTAAATGTCTGTAAACACTTGCGAAGAAGCTTGAACCTGATGAGAAGTGCACTTGAAGGATGCGGAGATGCGCAGAGATCGGAGTCAGCTCACAGGCTGAATATGGCCGAATGCTTCTGAAGAGCTAGGCAGCTTCGATTAGATGATTGAGGCAGAAAACTCCTCCAGAAGACTTCCAGAAGCCTCTTGCGATGTGAAAAGTGTGACAGTTTCCCCCGTCCTCCACCCAAGACCTACACGCGCCTAAACACTCAGCTCAACCACCTCTCCTTGCACTGAAGTGTTTGAACTGTCTGAAACTACTATCGGTAAGGTGTGCAGTGCGCAGCCTGCGTATCCAACCTTTCCTGCCGAAACACGACCTGGTTCAACTGAATCCGCAACCCGCCTGAACATGCCTTGAGAACTTCAGAAGCCCAGGTCCCAGGGTTCAAAGAAATCGCAAAGCAAGGGCTCTTCTAAAAATGCTGTCTCCTGCGATGTTTTAAACTTCACGGAGTGGGGCCGGAGGACATGATCAAGCAGCTAGCTAAGCAGGTCGGGAGTAGACTTCTCTCAATCGTTCCACCTTCCTCAGCCCTGAAGACCTGCCCGGCCCAAGTTGCCTCGGCTAGGCTGTTGAGGAGGCGCGAGGGGCCCTAGAGAGGGTACCCTGTTTCGCCCCGCGCCTCCACTCCGACCGGCCGTCGTGTCGTGCACCTCGACGGAGGCATTGGCGATCGTCATGCTGCCGTGGGACAAAAGGGTGCCTCCGTGGCACGAGCTCAAGACTCTCCGGCCCGCACCCCTTCTTACCCCTTAGCCAAGGCATCGAGCGCCTGATTCTGCAAATGCCTTTGCTTGCCCAGGGTTCAACAAAACAAAGCAAGGGCTCTTCAAAACACGCTGGTCCCCTGCGATGTTCTAAACTTCACGGAGTGGGGCCGGAGGACATGATCAAGCAGCTAGCAAAGCAGGTCGGGAGTAGACTTCTCTCAATCTATCCAGCTTCCTCAGCCCTGAAAACCTCCCCGGCCCCCCGCCCTTGCAAGTTGCCTCGGCTAGGCTGTTGAGGAGGCGCGAGGGGCCCTAGAGGGTACGCAGGGGGTACCCTGTATTGCCCGCGCCTCTATCCTTACCGGCACTCGCATTGTGCACCTCGAGGGAGGCATTGGCGATCGTCATGCTGTCCATGGACCAAAGAGCGCCTCCGTGGCACGAGCATGCAGTGCGTGTTCGGAGGTCCTACCCGTAGGCCCTACGAACCTCAAGACTCTCCGGCCCGCACACCTCCTTACCCTTTAGCCAAGGCATCGAGCGCTTGATTCTGCAAATGCCTTTGCTTGCCCTGGGCTTCCCTAAGATCCTCCTCCCAAAAAGCCACTTTAATCGGCATTGCGACAACCCCCTTCTGGACGCTCCTACGATGTGACCTGGAACATGATCACGCGCCATCGCCAAACCCGGAACTTCTGCACCTCATACTCGTAACAGCGCGGACAACCCCGCAAGACAAAGACGTGGGTGTGCTCGGGAATGCAGAAGCCACGCAAGACCCCCCTGGCGGGCTCTCCATGATGCGACTTCCCGCGCCCTGCAGTAATCAGCCACACTGTGAGAACTGAAGATCTCACTGTGGTAGATGAACATGATGGTACTGGTCGAGCCCCCTCTCCCAGAACCACGCCCGACATTGCACACGTCACGAGATTGGTTCCTCGACTTGTCGGCCTCGTTGCAGACTTGTCAGACGCGGTTGCCCGTTTACAAGAGCCTGTAAATGTCTGTAAACAACTGCGAAGAAGCTTGAACCTGATGAGAAG